GTAAAGGAATGGTCTCCTTGAAAGGCAAAGATGGTTGAGGATTGATGTGGGATAGAAGGAGAATTGCTAGAGAACGGGGGAACGGAAAGGCTATGGAAGCTTATAGGCTAGAGATCTAGAGACAAGTATCGTGCATGGGCTCTCAAGTCTCTCACTTTTAAAGAGGAGATCCCAAATCCATAAGGAGAAACGTCCAAATAAGGACTTTTCCTTGATAAGGAAGAGGATCATAATCTTCTGATTCTAATTGGAATGCCATATTGGGGTTTCGCCATGTGTCTAATGAGAATCTTCTAGGACTAGGATTTCCTTTTTCCCTTAGGATTCTCGCTTGGTATGTCTTAGCTACAACCCTTTATGGGTTTTTGGCAGCTACATGATGAGGACAAAGTTCTTTCGGAAGCACTGCCATGTCAATGTGACATGGCAGTCATGATGGATTGAGCCATTCATAGCCCATCGCAGAGAGTGGGGAATATGCTTCATTCCTTCGGATCTGTCCGGCTATTGGGAAATGTATTCAACTCATTGTAGGTGTAGGTGACTCGTGTTTGCTTCCTAGATCATTTGTCAAGCCATTCGGAGGGCCTACACTGACTTAATACTATCAGGTTTCCAGTTGTCGTGCTACTTATTACAGATGCTTTTTTTTGTTATATCTTGTACCATTACAATTCTCATTGTGACTTAGATTCCCTATGTGCTTGCAGTTCAAGGTTCTTATCGCAATCTCTACGATACCAAGCTACATTTACTTATAGGAATAGTCATGTGACCTTTTAAAACAAGCGGAAGATGTGAAAGGGCATAAATTCAAGGTTTTTTATTCCAACACTAGCTCTAGTAGTTCTCATATGACTATCAACTTTTTAGAAACAAAACCCCTACTCTCACATTACAACTTGGTCTAGAAAAAGTAGGGGTGCAACTTGGGTGGGCCTAACCCAAGCCAACCTAAGTTTTTGTATAGATTAGGCTTGCATTTTTGGGCTACGGGTTGGGCTAAGGTTGAGAGCTCGAGTAGGCTAAAACCAACCTTAGCATGCCATTTAGGGGTTTTTATTGTTCAGTCCACCCCCACAAATCTTAACTCCACCGTACAGTTGGGGTAGGTGTCAGCTTGGAATTGATTCCAATACACGGGCGGGTATTGGTGTTTAGGTGGAGGTATTTGAAATTTTGAATTGTTGTAGATCTGTAGTGGAATTCAGAATTCTGAGGTGGAGTGTCGTCTACTTATCCTTTATAGTTATATAAACAATCTCTCTCTCTCTCTACACACACACATATATGTACACATATAAAACATGTATATGTACATTTGTAATTGAAAATTGTACATATATATTTTAATTCAATTCTACTCTTGAAATGGACCATAAAGCCTAATGGCATGCTTTGCACGTGGAAAATTACGACGATGACGATTATGATAGTAAATAATATGCTTTTAATTTTTTTTTATATTTTTATGTCTATAAAAATTATTCTAATTTGTCACACTTTTTTTAATATGATAAATAAAAGATATTAGAGATGTGCCTAAATATTTTATACAATTTTTTTTTGTATTTTTAATACTTGTGTGTTTTCATCTTTTTTAATTTTTATTGTTATTCAACTATTACATCAAAGGTTAGCACATTTTTTACCTAAAATGTTGAATTGTTGACTTGCCAACAAACTAGAAAACAACTCTATTTTTGGGTTGGTTTTGGATTTATATTTTATTTTTATGGTCAATAAAAATAATTATTCTTTGTCACACTTATTTTTCTTTAATAAAATATGGTTAATTAATATAGGATTCAATGAAATAATGAAAATTAAAACATATACAAGAATTAAAGAAACGGAATTGAATGAGAAATGTAGTAGTTCAAATTACATTTTATGCCCTCACAATTAGAAAATGACCAAATTCAAAAATAGGGGTATTCTAGTCAAGAATAGGATTCAATAAATGTTAATGGGACTTAATACCTTAAAAATAAGACATAATGAGAAGGATTTGAATGAGGAGAAAAGTGGTTCTTCAAATTACATTTATATCCTTACAATTAGAGAGGGACCAAATTCAATAATTGGGGTATTCTAGTTAAATAAAGGCTCATATAAGACATGCATATGTACATCTGTAAATGAAAAACATACATATTTTACATTATGTCAGGCTCGGGCTTCAGGCCATGCCCATTCAAATTTTGGCAAAAGCTAGGCCTGAGTCTGGCCATGAATGGGTCTAATGAAAAGTGATCATGAGCATATAAAAATGTATTCACAATTTATTTCAAACCCAATCCAACCCCAACCTGTTCCCAACTTGAATTGTGTTGGGTTAAGCTCGAGTTAGGCCTGGGTTGGTAAGCTTGGGTTTGTCGTCAGGCTAGGCCAAGCATTTGCACCTTTAGGGTTGAATCAAGGTTAACCTTCAACCTAACCCAACCCGTCCAGTTGCGCCCCTAAGAAAAAGGTATAGAATGCATGTAATATAATAATTGTTAAGGTAATTTTGAAAAAAATAAAACTGAATCCCAATCCGATGTCATTTGAAGGTCAACCCTAAAGGTGCAAAGGCCTGGCCATGTCATTGTCGTTGTCTCGGGCTCAACTTATCGATTGAGTCAGATCAGTCTTAATCAGGTCAAGATTTGGTTGGATTTTCTAAAAGCAAAATATTTTAAAGCTCAAAATACAAAACGATAGACTTTATAAGCTTAAAAATCAGACTTCAAATCTTTTGTTCTAAGAAAATAAAAAATAGGGTAAAATACAAAAACCTTCCCTAAAGTTTCTGACAATCATAAAAACCTCTCCCTTATAGTTTCATTTTAGCAAAAACCTCTCCTCTGTTTTTGACAAAATTAACAAATACCTCCCTTTTGTCAATGACCAAGACGGAAAACGTCAAAGAGATGATATTTTTTTTTCAAAATACCTATTTTACTCTCTAATTAGTTATTACTTGAGCTGAGAGTTGCTTGCTTCTCTCTCCTCTTCTCAAACGATAAAAGATAAAAGGTACATCAAGAAAAAGCGGACACTAAATATCGGCAATGATATATCGACTCTGGGATTGTAACAACCGAAATTCCCTTTCTCTCGGTTATCTTCCATGGGTAACGGTTGCAGGAAGCATTATATCCAAGCCTCTCAATGAAAGTCTTGGCCACTCCTTCTGCTATGTTCGCCCCGATCCCTCTCGTCTCTCCTCCTCCAAGGTTTACTCGGAGGAGACCACCACCTTTCGATCCATCTCTGGCACTTTTGTTAGTGCTAACACGTCTACCCCTCTCTCTACAGCTTTTGTTGATCTCTATTCCTCTAACAGTCTTGATCGAGCTGCCACTTTTGAAAGCTCTACCTCCTTTGCTTCCATTCCGCTGCAACCTGTTCCTTGCTATCTCATGAATTTTGGTCCATTGTCCGGAAATTTCAGGGGAGTTATGGGTTCCAATCCCCTCGACAGGGGATTTTTATCTGATCCGATCAAGAGAGGCTTCATGTCTGGACCTCTTGAGTGTGGCTTGTTTTCAGGTCCTTTGGATAAAGGGTCTGATCAGTTTTCAGAGGAGCTTCTCTCATGAGGGTTATGTGTTTTGACCAAGATCCAAAAAGGGGTCTCTAATTTAGGTTCTCCGACAGACCAACACAAAGACCATCAGTCGTAGTTAGAACTCCGTAGTTGCCCCGGTCAAAGGGGTTGTCTCCGTCAAAGAATCCGATTGGGTTGTTGGGTCGGAGAAGAACGGGGAGAACCTCACCATCAACAACACTAATTTGAGCAGTGAAGGGAGCTTGGATGACGACTATTCTTTCGAAATCTAGAATCTTCAATGGGCTCAAGGGAAAGCCGAGGAAGATCGAGTCCATGTTGAGAGCTCCTTGTTTCTCTCTCCTCTTCTCAACCCAAGGAAAATATAACAGAGCGAAGAAAAGATTTTCAGAAAGGCCATTGGCTTCAGATGAGGACTATGGAATGAATCGCGTAACTAGAAGGTTGAATTGACGTATCTATATGTTGGTACAAAAATATTTAGAGGGGTGCCGCCACTACTTCTGCTTCTAGGTTCGAACGGGAAGAAAATGAGTAGTGTTCGAGAAAGGGTAAAATAGGTATTTTGAAAAAAATTATCATCTCTTTAATGTTTTCCGTCTTGGTCATTGACGAAAGGGAGGTACTTATTAATTTTGTCAAAAATAAAAGGGAGGTTTTTGCTAAAATGAAACTATAGAAGAGGTTTTTATGATTGTCAGAAACGTTAGGGGAGATTTTTGTATTTTACCCTAAAAAATGAGGTTTAAAGTAATAATACATCTGATACACACCAATGTGCATATCTTAAGCCTGCCTACCGGTGAAACTCGATGTATGGTGTTAGATCATCTTGATAGGCGGTTGGAATGTATTCTGTTGGCATGTGATCGGGACTCCCGTGAAACAGGTCAAAAGCCCAAAAAAGTATTGGTGACCTACCAATACAACACATATTTTGATCCTTGATGGAAAATGATGAATGCATGTCTTCTAGTTGTTTTATAAATCATAATTAAAAAATTAAAAAGACTAGTACCCAGAAAAGTAAAAAACAATTAGACAAATTTTTGGGTTTTAAAATGATAGATCAAAGCAGAAAATTGGACAAAGCTCCAATTAAAGCTTCTTTGTTTATTGGTCATTTTGGGGCTTTTCTTTCCATTGGATTTCATGCCTTTCAAATGCCGAGCCAGCCATAGCATAACCATATACGTCTAATTTACTTTTGAAAATCAATACAGATATAAGACAAATCGTGGAAAAATAAATGTTATAAAAAGTAGCATTTTTTCTTGTTTAATTAAGTAAACGAAAACATTTAATATGTTCCTAGTTTTGAATAAGAAAAACAAAAAAGGAGTGCAATACAGAGGATAAACTTTTCATCTACAGAGAAACATTTCCTGAGGCATGCAGATTTACTTTTACATCACCAACCAAATCGTTCATCAAGGCCACCAAAAACCCGAAAAAGAAAAGTGATATATAGATGATGGAGAAAGACGATATTTCATTTGATATTTCTAAAGAAGCAAAGAGAAAGATAAGATTACAAATTAATAATAACAGTTGAGAGCCACAACCCTCCACAACTGTACACAGAAAAATTAACTTCTGGTCACGACGACTGGATTGATTTCAACCAAAGAACTTAGGGTCATAGCCGTTGCTGGAGGTGGCAAGTATGTAGTAAGCAACGATGTGGCCGATGGATCCCCAAGCGAGCACATCAACAATGTTGAATCCAACTGGGTCATTCGACTTGAGCAAGCTGACATACTCTTTGGCTCTAACATCACCGGCCTCGAAGTGGGTCATCCCGTTCTGCTCCGGCAGTCCTTGTTTGGCTACGTTCTCACGCTGGAAGTTGAAGAAGACAAACCTACCCAAGAAGAGAGACAGCCCTGTGCTCAAGCTTATGACCAGGGATGGGTTCAATTCTGCTTTCACTCCAAATTTGGGAGTGTTTCTGCTCAACTTGGTGGAGGTCTTGGATGAAGAAGACAAGGCCTTGGTGAGACCGAAGAGGGAGGAATCAGTGGACTTGATGGGTCTGAGACCTTGAAATAAGGATTGGTGAGGAGTGAGTTGTGGGTGTTTCTGGATGGAGGGTGTGAAGGTGGGAGCTGAGAACAAGGTGGAGGCCATGGCTAGATCGTCGTCGAGTCGGTAGTGGTAATAGTCTGGTTAAGTTCTAGGTTCTAGGCTTCTAGCTAAGAGGACTTGGACAAATGTAGAGAGGGAGAGACAGTATAGACCAGAAAAAGAAAGTGATGATAAAGAATTTCAGAGGAGATTAAGGAGAGAGTTTGTGAGGAGGGGAACGATGTAGGAAAGATTTTGTGAGGTTAGTTGGGGTGGTATGATTGGTTGGTTTTGGATAAGAGATCCTTGGCACTCACCGGTTATGAGATTAAGATGCAACGGGGAAAAGTTGTACAATCCATATTTTATAAATTTTATTAAAAGAATTTACAACAAGGATCCGTGGCGCAATGGTAGAGCGTCTGGCTCCAGATCAGAAGGTGGCGTGTTCGATTCACGTCGGGTTCAATCCCCTTGGAATGGATCTTTTCCTTTTAATGTTTTTTTTAGCGTCATGGTGTTGGTGATGGACTGATGGGTATCCATTGAAAAGGTGGATTATATGTATCCCATGAATATGGACCACATGGAAAATTTTCAGAGCCACCATCTAAAACCATTCAAGTAGTAGACTTTTTACAATTCAGACTCGTTCAATTTCATCTAAGTCGTAAACTGAAAAGGCAAGAATATCTAATTTATTTTCTTTGAATATTACACTTATATAAGAGCCACTGAGCCACGAGTAATTCTCCTTCATTTGTTCCGAGTAATCCTGCTCGGCCACCAAAACAAGACCATCCTAATTGGCTAATTCTGTAATTCATTGTCCACCAGCCAAATTTAGTCAGAGAAAGAACTAAGAAATTCCAAAATAGATAACATGCACAAGTTCCAACATAGCACATTCTTAATTCTCCTGATCTCTTTTCATTTCATGGTCAGAACTCAGAAATTCAAAATTATCCATAGCAGAAAGAATGCTAGAATTCAACCTTGCATGAATTTTCCGAAACATAGCTACTTTCAAGTTTCAACAGCCGTCGTATCCCATCCATGTCTACAGTCTAGTCCACTGCATGAGGTCGGAAGTTGTAATAGATATCCATCCATTCAGATTTCATAATTAACAAGGTTGCGGACAGAAGTACAGAAGACAGAACTCAGAAAAGACGAAGACATTATATCCTTTAAAGGCGTATCAAAAAGTATTTTTCCGATAAACGACAGAAAAATGGTTCTTAGAAAGTACCAAAAAGAACAGAGTTCATAAATATACACGTGCAAAGTACCCCCAATGTAGCCTGGTAAGTTTTCTTCAACAATATGAAGCCTAACACAGTAACACCGCCCCCCCCCCCCCACCACCCAAGAAATTCCTTCTTCTAAAGTTTGGCATTGTGCATTTCTAGCCCTCTGTACAGCACTGCAGCCCCTCCCTTTATACACATCCATCCCTTTTACATATGCGACATTATCAAATTTATCATGAACAAAAAAAGAAAAAAAAAACAAACATGAAAAGCCGACAGCATATCCAATCTCTTGACGGCATTTTTTGCTTGTGATCCCATGTCATGTAATATCAAAGGTGAGAGAAGACATGCTCAAATGTTTAAAGGGCATGGAGGATCATTATTTTCAAGTTTGTGCTCATTCATATTAGGGAGTCAAGGTATGAATAGTTCCGGCACCGGCCATACTGCAGGAGGCTACCATATGTGCGGTCCCATACGCCGATAAAGAGGGACTCCGTATCAGGGCTGAAAGATACACCAGAGATCTCACCAAAAAAATCAATCTCTTGCTGCTTCTCATATCCATTCTTTGCATCATATACATGAACAAAGTCAGCAGGCTCCGCCATTGCCATAAATTGCCCATCAGACGTAAATCGAATTGATCGGATGGCTCCGAGGTTGCCCTTCAGGACTGCAACTGACTTTGAGAGATTCCGTACATCCCAAATCCGGCAGGTCTTGTCCTGGTTTCCAGTGGCAAAGGTACGACCATCGGGATGCCATGCTGATGCAAATGAGTAATCCAGGTGTCCGCAAAGGGGCATGACTGTCTGCAAGAATACAAGTTTCCAATTAGTTTCTTCCACTGACTCCACCTATATAGTAGATTTCGTCTGAGCTCCATTCAGATGTTTTGAGCTTTGACCATTAAGTTTTTCAAGGAAAAGTTTGAAGTTCAATATTAGCAGGTGGGCCCTTTGGTTCGTCCCTTGTGGATTTAAAATTATTCAGTGGAAATGTTTCGTTATTTAAAATTATTAGCAGGTGGGTCCTTTGGTTCGTCCTTTGTGGATTTAAAATTATTCAGTGGAAATGTTTCAGTTGCATGAAATTTAATCCTTAAAATAAATCAAAGAAGAGTAAAAGAGATTAGTACCTTTCCAGTCTGGGAGTCGACCAGTATTCCATCAGGGTTGTCGCCAACAATGACAATAAGCTTGCCGTCCGGGCTCAAAGAGGTATGCTGTACAAAGAACCATAAAAAGAGGATAGCAAATCCAATAAAAAAAGCTGTGAAGAAAAGTAATCATTTGCTTGATGATGAAGCTTGACACCACTAAAAAAAGTACTTTTAACCTCTTTAATGAATGCGATGACTAGATCAACCACAAAAAGATAAGTATTAAAATTAAGATATTCATAATATCCCATAAATAAGTTAATACAAATAAAAGAATGATATTTAACATTTAGTTAAGCACTGCAACTTGGAGGGCTTGGGTTTGAACATTTGTTACATTTTGAATGGGCCTGGGCCATTAGCTGTGCAAATTCTTCAAGCTGGGTGCCCTACTTGCCCCTTGGTTTAGTTTACAACCTTTGTTTGAATGTGTTTTGCAAACATTAAACAGTTAGCCTGGATAGGCTAGGATAGCAAGTTACAGCCTCTATTTTTCACAGAAAGAGTGCAACCTTTGGCCATCTGACGTAGTCCTTGTTTCTGGCAACTCCATACCAGAATACCACTGATTGGAAGAGAACTTGGAAAAATTAGAAATAAATACAAACAAATAAAGATTTAAACAACATTGCAGTTAACTAGTCTACGTAGTCATTAATTGACTAGTTGACCAAGTTGTTGCAGGCGACCACATCATGAGTATCAACTTCCAGTCAGTGATGCAGTTAGTCTGGCCCTCATCTGACTAGTTGACTACTTCGATAAAACTGCTGTAGAATAGTTATTGAATGGAGAACAGCATTGGCAGAAGACCCATTGACTTTAATGCACCAAGTTAGAGAAGCAAGATCTTTGGCCTCTAGGCCTCCCCGATACAAAGCTCCTTCTGTCACCATCTCTTGCTAACACATCATCAACAAGAGAGGCAGCTGAGCTCCAGATCCATTGCATAGTTAATAATACCCATACACTTTTTGGATTGTTTTTGAAACTGCATGACTTGTAGAATCTAGATAATAGTCAATCTAATAAATGGGACTTACATTCACTGGCCAAGCAAAGCGAAAATGTTTCGAAAGCTGAAATCTCTCCATATCAAAGTCCCTAACTGCACAGTCGTTATTTGAAGCTGTAAAATGTACAGCACCGCTGTGCAACAATAGCAGCTTAGTTAGCCTCCATCTTGAGGAAATGCTGATTTATCACCAATTCAAGGCAAATGGTTTACCTATAACTTTCATAAATTTCAACAGCATTTGTGATTGCATTGTCATCATAAGTTGTCCTGCAGCAGAAGCTAACCCCAGGCCGATCCAAATACTGCATTCCAACGAGGGAAGTAGATCAGTGTTTCCATAGATACCATCATTAAAGTCAATTATAAGCATTAAGGCTATGTTTGGTTTGAAGGAAAAGGTAGGGAAAGGAAGGGAAAGGTAAGGAAACCTTTACAAACCTTGTATAGCTTTCCCTACCTTTCCCTTTCTTTCCCTATCTTTTCCTTCAAACCAAACATAGCCTAAGAGTAAAATATTAAAAAAAAAGTGAATTTTAGTTTGGACATCTTGGTTTTAACTTTTAATGCATTCAGGACCCTTTTTTAAGTTTCTCTACTCAACTAAGCCTTGTCTGAAATCTGAATATGGAATGGGAAGCTGTATTCAGTGTATTCTTCAAAATTCAAATGTTCCATAAGATGTCCCTGACAAAATAATACTAGGTTCAACTATGATACCAGAAAAACTTGTAACCAATCAGGCAGTAATTTATCAAATTCACAGAGGGGGTTTGATTGGTCAAAGCCCTTCCGGTATCATGCCTTTCCAGCATATACTCCAAATCAAAATCACCATAAAAAGAAAAACCAATTAAAAAAGAGAGAAAATTAAAAGAAAGGATATCATCAATAGATTGCTAAGTATTAGCTTAGAAGCCTTAAGCACGCAAGTTTGCACATTGAAGACAACATATTAGAAACTATTCATCCCACCTCAAGAATATCCCCTGAATCACAAAAGAACCAAATCAAAATTAAACACCAAACAAACACCTAAATAAAGATCCCAAGATTTCAAAGGGAATTCAAAATTTAAACACAAAAGTGTATATCCAGAATAAATAAAACCATACAAAATTTGATCTTTAATGTTGCACAAAATACATGCCAAAAGAATCAAGGTTCTATTGCACGTAAGCCCTGAATTCAGAAAATGCAAAATTCATCAAAAAATCAGAAAAATGCATAAATGTGTGGCAAAAAAATTGCAAACATGTCCAACTACACACACACAAGGAATGAAGAAAGCATGAAAATATATGTACCAAAAATACGCACCGATGATACAGAATACAAAGTCCAAAATGCACCAAAAGGAAAAGAAAGAATGCATAAGACGAAAACTAATCTTGAAATCTGACTTTGAAGAGTCATAGAAAATAATATAATAATTTTGGCACAACCAAATAATTATGGAGGACTGCCATTAAAAAATTGCCCAGAAATGTTAAAATCAAGAAAAAAAAGAAAGAACTCAAGCGTTGCAGAGGTTAAATAGACAACCGGAGGAAAAAAGAAAAGCAATGCATGCCAAAGAAATACCACCAATATTTGATATGTGCATGCATGTATTTAACTGTTTACTAAAAAATGGAGATCCTCTAATAAGATTATTTAAAATAAGAAATGAAATAAAAGACCTCCACTATAATTGAGCAAGACCTGTAAAAGCAAACACCACTCATTTTTAATAAACTGCATATACAACTTTCTTGAGGACACTATAGGTTTGCCACATGTAAATTTTGAAATCAGGGTAAAACAACTTCTGATAGTGACTGCTTTAGGCATCTTAATGAAATGCACCCAGATATGGATACAGACATGAACACAGACAAGGGAAATCAGGGTACACTCTCCAGTTCCTAAAATTCCAGACACAGATACAGGTATGGTATCCCATGTAAAATGCTTATATCATGTTTTTGTATCTAATTTTGAAGCTAAATGTCATTTCTCAAGATATCTTGTTAAATTTATTAAATCCTCAACATTTACAGTTTTCTACATATTTCAAAAGTTGTAATGCTATAAAGTAACATCTTGATGTCTCCATGCAGCGTTCAATGTTGTATCTGATAAGTATCATGTCCAGCACCAGTAAGCTAAGCATGCACCATAATAGAATGAAACTACAATTGACATCTTTTCCTAGGATACTGGTGGCATTAAACAGAACGGGATGGTGAAACAGGAATCATGTAACCAACCCCATATAGTTGGGAAGGCTTGGATGATGATGATGGTTTTCTACGATATTGGAAGAATGCAAGCAAAAGCAATAGCTTGAATAAAAAGTCCTTGTCTTTGGATCAACTGTTCAAGTGTATTTGTAACAGCACTATGCAACTGTTCCAACCATCTGCATGAGTGAGGTGTGCATTTAAAATTCCTCTCATTACATGTATATACTTTATATTTAGCATAAAACAGCATACCTAGACCTTTTTTATGATAAAAATAAACCTTCATTAAAAAAACATTACAATGCAATGGTGAACAGTTTTCACCTGAAGACAAAAAACATAAAACAAAGCAATAACATTTTATAATGATTACCAATTACCACACCCACAGTAGATCACGAATTGTCTCCAAGATCTTCTGTAATAATGTCCTTAAACTACAGCTAAAACTCCAAGATAATTTCTAATAACCATCACCAAAAACTACAGCTAAAAAGCTAAAACCATACAAAAAAAAGGGAACAGCCTTCAAATCCCACATTTAGACAACATATTTATAATTAAGTTCAATTCCTGGGTACCCATTTATTTAAACATTTCAGTGCAGAAAAAAGTAAAAAGGGATGATCAAAGTTCCATTTTTTGCAAAAGGTATTGCCTTGATTCATTGAAAAAGATATGAAGCCAACATCCTAAGATGGTAATGTCAAATTAGTGTTTGTTAAAACTAACTACTAGCTTGTTTGATTACCCAAAGCAAAAGTTACCTTGCAGATAAGTTCCCCTTGAAATCCTCCAGCAACTAGCAACTTGTCCTTTACTGCTAATGTACTAACTTGGGTCTGAGTGAAGCCCTCAAGCAAGCTTCCAGGATGTTTCTATGTAAGAACCACAAGCATTAGTACAACTTCACAGATGAGCATAATCCAAAGACAAGAAAATTTTAACATAACAAACCCAAATGGAGAAAATTGTACCTCACATGGTGCCACATGACCTGATACATTGAGAACTTCAGATTTAGTGCACTTTAAGGATGACCAATGAATGACAGAATAGTGGGACATGAGGTAAGCATCATGCTTTGATGTAGCCCAAACCAAGTTCCTCAACTGCAAGGATGAACAGTAATTATCTGTAAGACAATCATCATTCAGGGAGCCAAGGCTGCAACAGCCAACAAGGAATTCCATGCAACCATAATTGTTGAGGCATCACTTAGGCTGATTTTAGGGTGATACCTTAACACCATGCTCATATTATTATGTGAAGCACCTGCCTGCCTTATCTACAAGACACCCAATTAGGTGACACAATGCCCACCCATGCAGGAAAAAGGTAAAGCAAGTGCCTTTTTTGGTGCTTATGATAAGCATATGATAGGTAATAAACTAGATCTTTTTTCTTGAAAGATGGAATCTTCAATTATACAAATGGGATAAACTGGATCATAAGTTCATAAATACAAATGGGAAATGGCTTTATTGTTCAAGAAGCAAAAACTGCATCCAGGTATTCTTCCCCTCCCCCCCACATAGTATATGGTTTCCCCGTGATATGTGAAACTTCTCTTTATTTCCACTTCCTTTCATTATCCTTCAGTAGAAAATAATAGTCAGATATAAACAAATACTTTGTCAAAGATCTAAAGAAATTTCTAGATTTACTTTATAAAATTGTCAATTAGGAGGGAGGAGCATAAATACCCAGATAAGTGCTCCCCTGTCACCTAGTCTCACCTCAGTACCTTGACAAATATGCTTATAACACCAAGTCACCAACTTGCCAAACGCCAGCAACCCCAAAAGGTGACAGTGCTGAAATTTTTAGAACAAATGCCATTCTCCAACAATTTCTTGTTCTGAGGAATGTGCATGTTTTCTTCTCTCTAAATTTCTTTTGATAGTAAAATATAAAAAGAATTTACTAGAAAAGAGAAAGTGAAACTTTAAAATACCAAGAAAAAAAAAGTAAAGCTTTAAATGTTAAGGAAACGCCTCAGAAAAAACCAAAAATGTTTCCTGGGGATAGATAACCTATACTTCAACTTCAATAATTTGCCCACCAAAGTTTTCTGACTCCCCTCCCTCTAAAATCCCCCAGCAGACAGCAAAAAAAATCACATTTCAGAAGTTTATTTATATGTACCACACTCCAGAAGATCTTTCATCCTTGCCTTAGGACCAACACATCACAAAAAGGAAGTTCCCTGATTTTTCCACTTCTCAAGAGGCTTACATGCTGCTGGTATTGGAGCAGATTGTTGGGGCAGTCAAAAACATGTTCAAAAAATGAGTTTAATGAAGATGTGGATGTTGAGAAGGATAATGAATTGGTGGGAAAACTAGAGAAGATGAGATTAGAAATGAGCATATTCATGGGATCTAGCAGTAACTCCAATAGGTGACAATATGAGGGAAAGTAGAAAAGATGGTTCGGAAACATGCAACGAAGACCATCTACAGTATCGGTAAGAAGATACCTATTGAAAGTCGAAGGTCTAGAAGAACTAGGACAAGCCAAAAAGGGCATGGATTGAACTAGTAAGAAACGATTTGAAGGCCCACAACTTAATGAATTATAATTATTATTTCTTTTTTTATCAGCAACTCAAGAAAATTTTATTAAGATTAAATAAAAAAGGTACAACAAGAAGTTTTTAGGTCAAAGACCCTTTACAGCAAAGATCCCCCCACACAATTAGCATTGAACCCAAAACAACTGCTGCCTATGAGTTCCTTGCTTATCCAATCCATCCACCAACCCATTTGCAGACCTCCTAACCCATCTAACATGGCTTTTCATATTTCTTGAGATCATCTTGAATCTTCTGAAATGATTTCTGAATTACCATAGAACCCCTTCTCCTTTTTTCAACCAGCCAACGACTATTTTTGAGTCCCCTTCAGCAATCAGCCTAGTAATTCCTATATCCTTAGCTTTTTGCACTCCAACATAACAATGAATATAGATTTAAACAGAGTGAAATAGAAGAACAGGATTCATGTAGCTGACCCCATATAGTTGGGACAAGACTAAATTGAGTTCAGTCGATACTGCCAACCCCAAAGGCCCAATGGCCCAACCTTTGAAGCATGTGCATGGATCTACAATGAACTGACCCCCACAACTTCAGAGTCAACAAATTCAATAAGAAAACAATGTAAGAGAAGAAGGTAGGAAAGGAATTAGAACTCGAATGGCCACCCACCACAGATGACCAACTGCTCAAACCCACTGACCTACTAACAGACTCACAGCTATCACACCAACCCCCAACAAATAGTTAACATTGAACTACTACTGGTTCTCCCCCTAACTCTGCAGGATTCAGAGGATTAGAGATTCCCTTCTCAGATTATTTATCAACCTTTTTCGTCCCAAGTAATTTCTTCCCAACTCTATTTCTTTCTTTCTTTTTCCTGCAGGTCATGGCTTCATTACCACGCTTGATAATCCGAAGTTACTAAAATTTTCTAAATTCAGTACTTTTTCCTTTAACTCAGGAAACTAAACTTCCTTGAGTAGCCCCTCAACTTCATCAACATTTTCAGGTTCCAAAGCCTCTGTACTTGTCCTTTCCTTAGCTAAGCCAGCCTCCCTAGTTTCACTTATTCTATCTTCTTCATCTCCCAAGTCCCAACCTTCTGAACATAACTTTAGTAGTTCTTTGCCACCTAAAAAGAAAAA